AGCTCAAACGAGGAACACGTGTACATGTTACTTTAAATTAAATGAAACAGTTTATCAGGGACCGCGGAACGGGGAGGGGGGGGGGGGGTCTAGCGGCGAGGAGGTGGTATTAGGGAGGTTCGGAAATTTTTGAAATGTTAACTCTCGGAAATGTCATTTTCACCGCACACACGGTCAGCGATATTCTCAATAAATCCCAAAAAAGCTTGAATTTTAATTGTTCACGCTCAGTTTTTACACAATTTTTACAGAATATATATGGTGAAATTTCATAAGGAGGCTCTTCGCTTCTTTATTTAGARAATTCAAAATGTCGGAAAAATTATTGGACCTGCTCCGCGGTCCATGATGAAAATGCTTCCAAGTCTCTGATTTGCTAAATGTGTTTTTGTAAAACAGTTTGGGAAAATTGTTGTAACTGCATCACCTTTTTCYATCCAAAATCAAATACAATTAATTTCAAAAAAGGTTGCGGATCGAGGATTATATGATGTCTAATCTTGTAATGTATAATGTAAAATTCACTAGGAACAATGATTAAAACATATATAACTTAAGAAATCCATGAAAATTTCTAGTTCCTTTATGTAATAAGCAATTTACTGGCTACAGAATTTTAATGCTACTTTTTTTGATAAAGCAAATGTATGTGATCAATGAATACTATTTTCTATATATGAGTATTTCGTAGTTTCATGTTTTTATTGACGTCACTAAAAATGCTCCTATTATTCATGCAAAACACTTTCGAAGTAACAGGGGCTTGACTGTACGTCACTTCCGGTCAAAAAATGTACTCGAGTGAAAATGGCGTGTTGTATAATGAAATGTGTTTTACTGCTTTTGTTGAATGTGTTGTGCTTTGGCCAAAATAACTTCACGATAACCCGACCATCTAAAGGAAGCTATCTTGATATATTTAAAGTACCTCCATGGAATTGTACAGTTGATRGTTCGYACTGCAAATCTTATCACAAGGAGGCTTATTATTCTSWTGAAAGTTGCAAATGTAGCTGCCCATATTYGGCGTCTACTTTTGGCTTTTTTGGCAGTTCTTGGATGTGTATTGGAAATCAAAAGCTAAGAAGTCAATCAGGTTTGGTTTCTTATCGAAACTATTTCAATGTTTAGCTTGTTTTTTTTTAATTTCAAAAGAATAATATTCACTACTGGTTGGATGACTCTTTCCGTTTGAATTGTTCTTTCGCTCGATCACACAAAACGTCGTCACTATTATCACGCAAGACATTATCACTTTTAATAAACATAAACATTGTTCATGAGAGAAATTCACCTAGCTTAACGTCTTAGTACTGACTTATAGAGTGACTGTTATATTAATTTTATTACTTTTGCACAGTTTTCGATTAAAAGCAGTACACTATATATYTTGAAGTTTATCTCATCCAATAATCAATAATATTCGCACAATATATGTTATCAAATCATGTCTAAATTTCTAAGGATTTTCTATGAGTAAGAGATATAAACTGAAGTCGAATGTA